AACTTATATTAAAGTTTTTCTTCATTACCCATTAAAGCCGTCTCCAGCCATCAATAGATTATATGTTTTTCCAAGTACAGATCTAGAAATGTTCTTCTACAATTGCTTCTCCATTAACAATAATCTTATGGAATATTTTCACATTGATTTACTTATGTTTTAGAATATCTTAAATATTTAGACAAAATACATGCAACAGTTTACAAGGTCTAAACAATAAAAACATGGAATTCAAGCTATTAACACATACCACTTCATTAGGCAAATTTTCATAACCCAACAATTCCAACATGGAAACAGTTTTGCCAAAAAATAGTTTGGAGTTAGGATTACTAACCACATGCTTGTTACTCCTAATTTTTCAGATCATCATCATGTACCATGTCACAACAAAACCTGTGACAGGTAATAACTTCTGTCTCTAAAAATGTTAGTTATATCAGCTCTAATTCTTCACACCATGGAAAACAAATGCAACTGTTTTAGCATACTGTGATCTCATTGTTTTATGTTTGCTACCATTCTGCTAACCAATTTCAGTATATATTATTTTGAGCTGGGAGATTAGTGGAATTTGATAATTGATCATACATTAGACTCATTAATGAATTACATTCAAGTAATTGATAATTCTCACGAGACTTAGTTGGAATAATTGAAAATAGTAATAATCAGAAACACTAATTTTGATTAGTTGATTATTTTTATTAATACTTATAAGTAATTAATTAATCAAATTACCCAGCTCTAATATTGTCATATATTGAAATTAATTTGGAAATTTCATTTTCAAAAAAGGTAGAAAAAAATACATTAATTACAATGATTTACTAACTGCTAAGTAAGTAATTATCATGTAATCCTTACAAAATTACATTATAATATTAAAATTATATGTAAGTGGTGTAATATTATATATATATATATATATATATAAAATATTAAAATCGGTAAACAAACAATGTTTTATAATACACAAATAAAATCTTTATTTAAACTGATCATTGGTTGTAAAAGTTACTCTACATGTTTCAGTGTGGTTTCACGTCATCTTCTGTGTGCTATATAAGTACAAAAGCCATAGTCATGTAACATTGGTTTACAATTCAAAAGAAAAGTTCACACCATATACTTACTTTCTGATCTTCTAACCCTTCATCCTTATTTAAGATCAAGTTGTTTTTGCTGTGTTTCATTATTTCAATGGTTTCTCTAATATTTCTAGCAGTCATATTATTTGGTTGAGCCAAAATAACTGTTTTTTCCCACTGGATGATATGTCCAGTATAATTTACATGTTCAGCTAATGTAGAGTTTTCACTTCTGTTTTTAACATTTCCCTTATATTCATTTATTGTAAATTTTAAGTTTCTTCTAGTTTGACCAATGTTTGCACTACCACATTGAACTTTCAATATATCTGTTTTTCCATTATATTTATTTCATCTGTAGTTTTATTTAATATTTGACTAATTTTATTAAATGGTCTGTAAATGACAATAAGATTTTTGTTCTGTTTTTTGAATTTATGAAAAATTTGACATGATAAACCTGGGATATATGGTAAAAACATTTCTTTTTTATCTATTTTATCGAATGTTGATTTTGGTATACTTTTTTGTTCAACATTTATTTGGTTTAATTTCCTCATGGCTCTATCAACAATATAAGGTGAGAAAGCTCTATCTAATGCTACATTTTTAATAAATATCAGTTCATTTTTAAATCTGCTGAATTAGAACATAGTTTTAAAGACCTGTAAACATAAGAGAAAAAAGCTGACATTTTTTGTGACTTTGGATGACATGATTCTTGGTGTGGTGGCATGATAACATAAAAAGGTTTATGATAGACTGTAGTTACTAACTTATTCTTGTTTTTCTTAACAAGTACATCCAAAAATGCTAAGCTGTTGTTTTCTTCAACTTCGTGAGTAAATTGAATATTTTAAGTGGTATAATAAACTAAATTGTTTTGATAATTTACAGATATATTTAGTCTTCTGCTTTGTAATGCAAGGTATTGATATTTATGATGAGTATTAGTTGAATCTGTTCCACACTTGTTTTCTTTTAATAACTTGAATAATAGGATTAAGTTCAGGTAATGATTGGATTTGTTTTAATTGTATATTGTTGTAGGCTTTTATATAAATTTTTTTATCTAGTGATAAAATTTCCTTGAAATTCTGATCTAGTGATGATTAAGATCTAATGTTTGGATTTACAGAATAGCTTATGACCACATTTGATTTTGATATTATTATTATTAGTAGTAGTAGTAGTAGCAGTTTCTCAATTTTCAAAAAATTACTTGGTAAGCAAACAATTTAACAAAATCTGTATCTAGAGCTTAAAACTTTATGAATTAGTTGGTGCACGTCTTAATGGGCAATTGCTACTTGATTAAATTACACATTAATTTATTCAAGCAGTTGCTTTTTATTAGTTTCACATGTTGCCCAATTAAAACTGCTCCTGCATATTTACAAACATATCCTTGTTAGGTAGAGACACTAGAAATTAGTAGTGAAGACATAAGTAATTTCATCACAGATCAATCGTAAAGCTAAGAGCTTTTGTTTTAAGTAATTCATGTCTAGACTGTAAACATTCTTTCTGTACCCTAAAACAGAACTTGATAAGAGAGATTGTTGTAAATTTTAAATAATGTAATAACATAACAAGATGTTTTGGGACAACATGAGACCTATTGGTCCATCTCGGCTGTTCCATCCTCTAGACTAAATTAAAATAATTTTTAAAAAATCTTAAAGCTAGCTCTTATCATTCATATACTTATCAAGCTTTTTCTTAACCTCACTTAAATTTAATGCCTCTACAACATCTGAAGTCAACCCATTCCAAAGGCCAACCACCCTGTTAGAAAAATGAAACTGTCTTAGCCGAAGATGACTCCTACCTTGCCAAAATTATATTTGTATCCCCTAGCCCTTCTATTCTCCCTGTTAAATATGAAAAAAGATGATGCATCAACACTATCAATTCCCTTTACAATCTTAAACACCTTAATCACATCTCCTCCTAACTCTTCTATTTTCAAGAGAAAACTAATTTCAGAGATTTCAGCCTCTCTTCATATGAAATCTCCTCCATCCCAGGCACCATTCTAGTAATCCTTCTCTGAACCCTTTCCAACAATTTGATGTTTTTCCTAAGGTAAGGAGCCCAAGACTGAACACAATATTCTAAATGTGGCCAAACCAGTGACCTGTACAATGAAATTATAACCTATTTAGACTTCCTAAAATCCTATTTGCCCTACTACTAGCAACAGCACACTGCTTGAATGGCTTTAGAGACTGATTGAATATAACACCAAGATCTCTTTCCTTCATAACACATGTTATCGTCTATTAAAATGTGCATGATTAACTTTATGCTCTGAAGAAAATTGTTAAAGTTGAGGATAAAAGAACAAATCAACAGAGGAACATTTAGATTAGTGGTGTTGTCCATTATTCTCCAAATAACAAATAAAATAACCACATTAAGGTAAGTGGAGCTTTTCATATCCACCATGGATGTGAAGATATTCAAACTAGCAGCAAACACCACATATTCATGTGTACCATTCCGTAAGTTTATAACTAACACAGAAGCAGTTTTAGTAGAAAATTTTTAGATTTTTATTTCAAAACAAGATTTTTTACTCGTGATACTTGAAATATGTCCTTACTTTCAAACTTTATCAATACATCATTCAACCAGATCTTTCTTTTTAGTTTTCTATAAAGCATTTATCACTTGCAATCACTATAGTTACATCAATATGCTGGAAATATTTCAGAGGTAGGCTATTAAGATGATATTTGATGAAAATAATTTGAATCATGAAGAGGAACTTGATATATTGTAATATGGTGCTTAGAAGAACAATAGATGACTTGATTCAGACTTTTTGAGTAATGATCAGTTGGAGAAGGCAAATGTAATGTTTGAAAATAGAAATTTGTAATTTTTTAGGTTTAAATTGTATAATATGTAATGATACACTTGCTTTTTTCATTGTTTTTATCCAACCCTGTTTTTTTTTGTTTTTTTCATATATTCTACTGACTAGCACTTCTGT